TGGATGTGAGAGTTGGACTATAAAGAAAGCTGAGCGCAGAAGAATTGATGCTTTTGAACTGTGGTGTTGGAGAAGACTCTTGAGAGTCCCTTGGACTGCAAGGAGATCCAACCAGTCCATCCTAAAGGAGATCAATCCTGGGTATTCATTGGAAGGACTGATGCTGAAGCTGAAACTCCAATACTTTGGCCACCTGATGCGAAGAGCTAACTCATTTTAAAAGATGGTGATGCTGGGAAAGATTGAGGACAGGAGGAGAAGGGGACAACAGAGGATGAGATGGTTGGATGGCATCAACGACTCGATGGACATGGGTTTGGGTGGACTCCGGGAGTTGGTGATGGACAGGAAGGCCTGGCATGCTGCAGTTCATGGGGTTGCAAAGAATCGGACATGACTGAGCGACTGAACTGAACTGAAAACAAAAACTTGACAAGAACATTGTAAGAAAAACAATGACAGACCAATTTTTCTCATACGGTCTCAAAAAATCCTAAACAAAATATCAGTATATCATACCTACTAGTAACATACATGTATTAATACCAATTTATACTCAGGCCAAGATTTAAGACTGATTTACTATTAGATTTTTTAATTTAAGAAATTAAGAAAGATGAAAATCATATAAACTTTTAGTAGAAAATGAGTTTTCAACACTCATTCCTTAACACCTTCTTTGATGTTATAATTTACTTGAAATTCAGTCATTTAAAATACACAATTCAATATTTTAGTAAATTTAGAGAGTTGTACAACTATCACCACAACATAGTTTTAGAACACTTTCATTATCACAAAAACGATTCCTCATAATCATATACAGTCATTCCCTGTTCTCACCTCTAGTCCCAAACTATTATTTTCCTATAACTTCGCCTTCTCTGGACATTTCATATAAACAAAACTCATACAATATATAGTCTTCCACTTCTTTCTTTCATACTACATAATGTTTTTCAGGTTCATCCACAATATAAAGATAAATCAGTATCTTTTGTCTTTTCATTACCAAATAGTATTCATTGTAGAGACAGATATTTAGATTATCCATTCATTCAATGATGGACAATTTCTACTCTTTGGCTATTATGAAAAATACTACCGTGAACACATCTGCATACAAGTCTTTGTGTAGAGAAATTTTTTCACTTTGACCCAAAGACTCACTTGGGTAGAGTGGAACTGCTGAGCTATATTGTAAATTTCTATTTAATTTAAAACAGGGAAGGAAAAAAAAAAACAAAAACCTGCCACTGCTTTCCATGGTGGCTATACCACTTTACATTCTTAGCAATGCTAAGGGTCTCTGTTGTCCTACAAGGACACTGGTCTGCCTTTTTATCATAGCCATTTTAGTGATGTGATGTATTTATTATGGTTTTAAATTTGCATATCCTGAATGACTAATGTGGCTTTCCTGGTGGCTCAGGTGGTAAAGAATCTGCCTGCAATGTGGGAGACCA